AACATTTTAAGTTTGATTCAGACAGAAAGCTAAATCCTTGATTAAAAATTTGAACCAAATTTCTTGACGTGGTTACCGACTGCAAAATAGAAAAGATCAGTCTTTTATCACGCAACGCTTATGATTAGTTGATTACAATGACAGGAAAAAAAAGTGGGGTGCTCGTGCTCGTTGGTGAGCTAGAGCCATTTTTCAACTGACAGAGCTCAATATCAGGGCAAATCTGTCATGTTTTCAATATGCGCGTGCACGAACGCGCGCTAATGACGCCATAAATTATGCGCAGTAGGGACGCGCAATGCAAATGTGAGGAATGACCTTAAGACATCCGCAGTCAACTGTCGATCAATGCCCTCGATCTCCATCTTGATCAGCACTCAATCAACATCTCGATTGATACTTTGTTGACACTTGGTCAACACTTGGTCAAGATCTGATCCATACTTGATCGGCAGTCGGTTGATACGCAGCCGAGTGTGGACTGATTTACATATATTCATTGACACTCGATGTCGTATCTGCAAAAATTAGTCGACTTTCAACCAAATCTCGTTCAAGATGTCAATCAAGTGTCGATCGAGTGTTGATTGAGTAATTTCAAAACTGTAAGTGCAAAATAAAGTGAAGTTGAAGTTGAAGTTGAGCATCAATTGAGAGTCGATTGGGGGTCAATCAAGGGTCTATTGAGGGAGGATCGAGGGTAAATCAAGTGTATCAATGGTATTCGACTGAATTAGTACCCATGACCAACTGTATTAAATCTTAGGGTTAGTTATCCTCTGAGACCCAGGGGCAGATAGTCAGGACAGGGGAAGTCAGTGTTGTAAACAAAAGTTTTGTTCTTGTAAGTGTAAATTTTTTTATTGTACCGCTTTTGTCCATTTGACTTCCTCCTGACCCAACTGTCTGCCCCTGGGTCTCAGAAGATGAGGTGTGGTTAAAGGTAGCTAGAAAATCTTTGGTCTCAAACATTTTTGCCTTATGTTAAGTCTAAAGGGCACACTACTAATGTCAAAGGGGACTGGCTGGGATGACCTCTGACTTAAAAAATAGGAAGGTTTCTGCAACATCAGCAAACCTGGCAAAAGAGACAGCATTTAATTTGGTTTCTGATATTATTTTTCATTAACAAGACACCAGAAACTGGAGAATTGAGCAAACTGTCCAATGTTCCATTCTAAACCTTTCACCACAATAGACTTTTTCCATATTCCAACAAACAATGGTGCAGAGTCAAGATCAAGGAGGACAAAAGTACATACAGTATGTGGCAAATGACTTTGTATGAAAATGTCCAACCCAACCTCGCTCTGGTACCATTGCTTGTATGCACTGAAGTAGAATGCGAGAAAGGTCTATTTGTAACAGATTTCCAAAAAATGTCCAATCCATGTGAGTCTCAACCCAAATTAAGAAATTTTTCAATCAAATGGTAAGAACTCTATAGGCCTGGGCACATGTGCTTTTGATGTGCTAAAAAATTCTGGATAATAAATGCCTTTAAGTTCATCCAGTTCAAGAGGGGGAAAGGGAACTTCTAAAAGTGACTTTTTTCTTACCATTAAGCTATTAAAATTTCATACATATTGGATTGGGCAGGGAGGATAATGGTTCAACACTTTCCAGGATATCTGAAATCTATTGCATTTCCAAAATGCAAACCATTCAGCAATTGAAGTAAATGGTGTTTTTTGCCGGTATAGTACAATGTAGATGGCTAGTTTTGACAAGAACCTTAAACAGTGGTATTATTTTTTTTCATTTCAAATGACTAAGATAATAGACTGAAAGTTGACTGTTTTTGTTTTATGAACATTTCAGATGTGTTAAACTCCTTGAAGACCTATCTTCCTGTTGATGGCTACTGCATCATTGGCCTTACATGGGTGGATCTCTATCCTGGGGAAGAGTGGAATTTTGTCCTTGGTGAATCATCTTGTGCAGATGGCTGTGCCGTGATGAGCTTTGGCCATTTTGAGCCACAGTCTTATGAAAATAAGCTGTTACATGAAACTCATAGTCCCCATCATAGTGATGATATACTTCTTTTATCCGGGGCAATTCAGTGTGGTAAAAATGATTGGACTTTCTCCTCGCTGCCTGAAAACAAAAACAGCCAAGATGACATCAGGCTTTGCTTGGAAGACTTTGCAGATATACAAAACATTGACAAGCAAATGATTTGGAGACTTCTGAGGGTAAGATCTCATGTTTGCTGGTTTTGATGTCAATGACAAAATGTGCGTTAATGATATTAAACTAAACCACATCATTGAAGCTTATCCTGGCCTCCATAGCATGATTATGAAGCATTCAGTAGAAAGGTGATTGCCTCCCTTGCAGAAGGGTCTTCAGTCTACCATATTTATGTCAAAAAAAAAAAATTTAGTCTAATGTAACAGGGCTAAAAAAAACCCATCCGCTCGTCTGGGACAAGTATATTTTCCTCTCGGACAAGTAACTTTCTCTCCTGAATTGTCCCACGGGCAAGAACCCAGGCAAGTCATTTACCGACTAAATTTTTGATAACGATTTTGAAACAAACAGTAAGTGTTAGGCACATGGGTTTAATCAAGTGTTTAGGCAAAGCTTGATTAAAATTACTAACTATTATAGCAATGTTTTGTTGATTACATGATGCACTTTCACAGCTCAGGAGTGGTTACTTAGCACGTGATCAAAATCTGCACTAATCAAATTTCTTTCCACAACTAAAAATAGCTGTATTCAGAATGAAAATGCCATGTTTATTTCTCAAAATTTCAACATTTTTTGCAATAATTTTTCAGTTTCACTGTATAAAACCAAACTCAACATCAATGTATCAAAGCTGTAGACCAAACTCGACATCAATGTACATGTATCAAAGCTGTAGAAACTGTACTTGAAAAGAAGTAATATATTTCTACGGCAAAAGCAAAGCCCTCGCCTGCATTTTTAATGAAAAAAATCCAACTAAGTCCAGGGTTGGACACTTAATTTTCACAGCACTCGCCATTCAGACAAGTGACCCTCAAAATGCACTCGCCTGGACCAGTTTTCACTCGCCCAAAACTACCCCCTCTTCCTCATATTCCCTCATATCACAGGCAGCTTTTGGGACTTTTTCATTCTTTTTCTCATTGACAACTTTAGAAACTCCGGAAATATATTCCACATTTTGGCTACAATCAGTTTACTCCATTTTTAAACTTACCGCGAGAACACGCATCAATCAGAGTGCTGGGAAAGTACAGGAAAACAATTAACTCGCAACGTTGCCGAGCACGTGGCAGACTGAGGATTATTACTTCAATGAAAACTTCTATTTAAAGACTTTAAACCCTAAGAAAACGCAATGGAGGTTCTTTATATTTCAAATAGTTTTTTTTTTTTATTGACGAATCTTTGTGACATCCCTGCATTTTGTAGTCTGCAGTTCAAGAAATTGCACTCGTCTGTGAGGCTGCTACAGGGTTTGGCCCTTTGTATGCTTTTCATGAAAGTCAGCAAAATGTCTCATTTAAAATGTTCAATAACATTTTCTGTAAAATGAAATAATTGGGAACAAGGGTGGCATAAAATGTGAGAAATCAAGGAGAGGAGACTGCCTTTTCTTTGTTAAAATAGCTAATACACAGACAGCCAAAAATTTACTGCCCCTTCTTAGCTC